TTGATGATGACTAGTATACCCTTAAGTGGGCGGCCAGCTTGGCAGTTACATAAAGAAAATAAAATAAGAACAAATAACAGGCCCATTAAGTGAGGCCCATCAACATAAAATAAAAGATAAAATAAAGGATATCACATGAAAGGCTGTTAGGGCCCATTCGGCCCAGTCTCTTTACATGGTGTATCCCTAACTGTTTGGTGTATCTTACCCCTTGAAGCAAAGCCATGACCTCCACTCTCAGAGAATTTCCCACTCCTATTGGGCTCGAATATACAGCAATTATTCTACCTTCTCCAGCTCTGAACACACCCTCTATAGATCTCCCATCAAAGTTCAACTTCACCSTTCGTTGTGTTGGTGCAGAGCATAGTTCCTGTATACTTGCTTGAAAAAAGAAGCATCTACCAAACACCCCAATTCCTGTATATGTCTTTCACCTGAGACATCTTTAAACACCAATTGTTTTCAACCAGTGAATAACCTTAATGATTACTCCTACAATTTCCTCCTTAGATCTATACTCTTAAAAATCTTGTTGTTTCTTTCCTCCCAAACTGATCAAAGCACAGTTGCTTTTGTAGATCTCCACATGACCCTTCTGTGCTTCTTGGATTGCCTGAAAAAATTTGGGTCAAAGAGGCCCACAACACTCGGGGGAGGGGTCCACTTGCAACCAAAGAGAGAAGAGAACCAAGACCAAATAAAGAACACAAAAGGACAAGAGATTAATAGATGTATGGTCATCTCACCAGAACCCAAGTAGAGACTACAAACATGGAATGAAAAGGCAAATATTTGGCCTTTTTCTTTGTAGCAGATCCAAGGTATTGATTTTCTAGAATACCACTTCCTAGCAGAAAGCCCTGATCTTTGGAAGTATAGGGCTACACCAAACCTCCTTTGTTGGAAAAGTCCCTACATTGTTAGAGGACTAAAGGACATTAAATAAAGATCAGGTGAGAATAACCAGAAGGGGAAGGTTTCTAAATTTTGTTATCCAAGCAAGATTGATCCAAGTAGACTATCCCTAAAAGAGTGACAAGTTCATTAAGCAGCCCCATTTTTTACAACCTTGGCCCTCTCCTTAAGCCCAGATCCCATGAGTTATTTGTAAGGACCGAAGAGATCACTTTTCTTTTGTTTTCTGAAATGAACCTATCTTTTAAGGGAACTCTCTCCGAACCAGATATCTTCCCAAAACAGCACTTTGTTTCCTGCACAGGCATCATGTTTGAGGGAAGCATAGAAGGCAAAATACCATGAATAGCTTTCCAGGGAGAACAATGAGAAACCTTAGGGTCAAGACGTGCATCCCAACCATTGTCTGCCAATCCATGTATGCTCACAATCATTCTATACCAAAATCTATCTTGTGCCAAAGCCATTTCCCCAACAAAGCTGTATTCCTTAATTTGATATTCCCCAACCCTAGGCCCCCTTCATCCCTACTCCTAGACACCACCTCCCACTTCACTAGGTGATCTTTCTTGGTATCCCCAAGTTCCCATAGGAAGCCATCGTAATCTTCTCTAGCTGGTTTGCCACTTTTACTAGCACTTTAAATGTAGACAGGAAGTAAACTAGTAAATTGGCCATTGGATCAAGGCCTCATCTGTGTGCTGCACGGCCATCGGAATTTTGACCTCCCTTTTGAGATGGTCTAGCCTGGAGACTGTCTGGACTATCCAAGGACTGTGGTCATTTCCAGTTATCTAGTCTAGTCATAATTTTTTTTTTTTCCATCTAAACAAATGAATGGGGACAACATCCAATTGTCTTTTGTCACAGAAATCCCCTTGTTCACTCCCATCACATTTCTATGTGCATGACAAAGACTTGATCTTTTTCTTCTTAATGTATAACTAGCGAACGTTTTCAAGGAACTTTTTTTAGTTCAAAGTTTAGAGTACCTGCATATCATTTTCTTTCCCCAGTGTTACTAGTTCTAATACAAGTTTATTGCAATCATGGTGCAAATTATGGTGACTATTCAGTTATGGGATGGTTTGGATCTCCACCACATTGGTTTTTTTGCTTGCCTCACTTGGAAATTGTGCCACTTACCTGATGCAAAAACGGAGTAGTAATAGCACTTCATGGAGCTTTGATGTCAGTTATGTCAACTTGGCTGCATGTGTGCTGTATGGTTATGCACTCGTGGTGCCAGTAGCATTTTACTTCTTGCTTCAGTATCTTGGATCAAATGCAAGCCTTTTACGCTTCTGGTGCATGTGGGGATATTCCCTCTTCATCTTTATTCCCACCTCTGTAAGTTGCCATCTCTTTTTACTTTAGCTCTCTGTTTCATTTGGATTGCTCAGAGGACTCAACCCCCCATCAAAAACCCAGCATGTATCAAAGGCAAATGGCAGGTGGATCGGGGATTTTATGTTTCATACTGGTTGCGTTATAATGTACTAACTTTGGATCCGTATGGGGAAATTTAGAAATTGGAAAATTAAGACTTAGGAATGCTTCAATCCTTAACACATACACACACATGCATCATCTGAATTCTATTTGTTTTCTGAAAATTTTTAAGTGATGGAATTTGCTTCTCTACAATATTCAGACATGATGTAAATGTATAATCTAATTATTAATGAACCACATCTATGGTATATATGAAAAAAATGAAGCACATCTATTGGTGACTGGTGGCTGCCATTTAAAATAACCAGCAGGAACTCTGGGAAAATCAGTCCATTGAATAACCAAACTCTATATATTGCAAAATGCAAAGATATTGTTTTGCACTACTAATGTCTGGCATATGACATCCACCAGGGTAATCAATTATGGATGTCAATTTTCTTGCCATTTTGCCAATGCAAACACCTCCCTTATCACGTGTTAGACTGTCTACCTATGTTTCATTTCTGTTTTCTTAGTCATGAAAAACAACTTGCAGAGCTTCCCCATGATTCTTTGTTTTTTTTTTTTTTGGAGCCTTTTATTTGAAAGATGTCTAATGCATTATTTATTTGATTTTCAGTTTCTATTGATTATTCCAGTGGAGTTTATCAGATGGATAATCATAATTCTCACTGCTGCGGCATCATCTACCTTTGTTGCTCTGAATCTCAAATCTTATATACAGGGGAATGATCTTATGCTGGTGGTGGTTGCATCATTTGCTTTGCAAGTTGCCATGGCATTGTTCATCAAGATCTCGTTTTTCCCATAAGCCTCAGTAATTGGCATCCTTGTCTACGAGTTAATGTGAGAGCCTAAGTTATGTATATAATGCGTTCCTTTCGGATTACAATGTTATAGATGTGATTATGCATACTTTGTTTTTTGGCCACTATGAAGTACATCAAAAGACGGATGCTTGTATGGAGACGGTCCCCTATGTCCAACTAGGATTTGATCATTTGTTTGTGCTTATGTACAGAACGTTTGATGAAGTGTGGGATGGCAAAACTATACTTTGAGGAAGATGAGTTATGAAGAGGATCTTTTCTAGTAATAATTTAGGGAGAAGGAATTGCAATTCGATGAAGGATGGGAATGTAAAAAAATGAGTGCTCTAGCAATATCTCCACGGGAGTGTGTTACTGTTGATCTGAATGGTTGAAGAATCTGATAGCTTGTAGCTTCTAGACTTTTCAGTGTTTGAGAAGAAGAAATGATATCAAATCTGGTATAAACTTTGGTGCTATTTTAGTTTTTATGTTTTAAGTTTTAACCACTTGCATGTATATAATTTATAAAGAATTTGAACCCATAACTTTTCGTTCTTCCTGTACTACATTCTCAATTTTGGGAGTTCAAGTCGATTCTCTTTTTCCTTGAGAAAATAATGATATATTCCGGATATTGAGTTTAGCAAATTAGGGCTTGGTAATGACCATTTTTATATTTTATCCATTTCAACTTTCAAGTAGGAGTGCAACTTGGGCGGGCTTAACTCGAGTCTGGCCTGGGCCTGGGCTTGAAAAGGCAGGTTTTTATTTTTTTGGGTTGGGCTCGGGTTGAGGTCTTGGGTAACCCGAGCTTAGCTCGATGTATTGTACTGTAGTATATAGTGGAATCAATGAATCATATGTTAATATGTTATTACTTATTATGTTGGCTTAACGGTAGTTGTTGAATTAGTAAATTATTAATTTAATATTAGGTGCCATGTGTCAATTGTCAATGCCATTGCTCAAAGTCATTAACTTGTTTCTTAAGTTTCTTTTTCTAAACATGATTTCCCTCTTTAACTCTGTGTCTATGAGACTTTAACGTTTCAAATTCTTTTAATTCGAATGCCATTATGGCAAGTTGGCAACATTAATTAAGGAAACCCAAAACGAGTAAAAACTCGTTAGGCTGATTAAATTTTAATCTGGGGCTTTGGCCTTTGGGCTGATTAACCAATTCAAATTTGGCCCGGGCCTGGGCCCAACTCGAGTGCCTAAATTTTTAGTGTGGGCTACGTTTGGGTTGAATAATTTGGGCTTGACCTCGGGCTCAGGCTTTAGGTCCAATTCTTAGGTTGGGTCTGGGTTGAGCTAAAACCCAGCCTAGCCCGCCCGACTTGCACCCCTACTTTCAAGGGGGTCTTGAGCTGGAATCCTAGTGCAACACCACTCAACTAATCTAGGCCCTATCTAAATTATGGGTGATCATCAAAAATCGAATCAAGCTGAATCGATAAAACTAAACCAAAAAATTCGATTAATCGAATCAACTGGCATATATATGCATTATGCATATATACGCTTTTCATATATTTCTAATATTTATATTATATAACTATATATTTATTTATAGTATATATTAAAAATTCAAAAAAAACTAAAAAATCCAAGAGCTGAATTGATCAATTGATTAATCAATTGGTTTCAATTTGATTTCATTTTTGGTTTTCCAAAAACCAGTGATACTGGTTTGGTTCGAAAAAAGTCCCACAACTCGGTTAACCAAACCATGAACATCCCTAATCTTAATAAAGGTCTAAATAGTAATGTGCAAGACGGTCCACGTCACCATGCCGCTCCTTGCTCAATTATCCCAACCCTGCATTCTCCTTGACTCTCTCCTTTCCCCCTTCTCACCACTCTTAATTTGCCATCTTAGCACCCTCTCACTTCATTCCTCTCCCTTTCCATTGGATTCTCTCTCTCACCCGAAAACTACTCTTTCATTTTCTATTACAACCTAACTCCTCTCCTTAGTTAGCTCAATATATGTTTTATCCTCTCATTCACTTCTATATGGAATTTCCCTTTATTTTCTCCACTTTTCCATTAAATTAGATTCATAATTTATTAAGATTTGGATTTTCAAATATGTTGGAACATTATCCATCTTCTTCCTCACGACGCATAGCGGCAAAATGACAATGCACTTCCCCCTCGTACCTTCCTCTTCTTTAATTTCCCTCTGATTCTCTCTCCCCATCAACGAATAGCACTATTCATCATTTCTCTCTCCTCGACTAAAACACACAACGGTGGCGATTGAATTCGAGCTCCACCTCCGGCCATCTGAACTATCAGTCGTCCAACTATGATACTGGGATGAGAAAACCACCATATTACGTCTCCGCCATCAGTAATGGGATGAGAAAACCACCATATTATCCACTCCGCCATCAGTAATGAGAAAACCACCCTTTTGAAAACTGCTTTTGGTTTTCGGATTGATAAAACCGCTAATACTATGCACTTCTTTCCCAACTATATATTACGTCTCCTTATCTTCCTTCCTGCTTAGTTCTCTACACCGCACCGTAGTTTAATTAAGTAAGAAAGCAACTCTGAGAATATAATAAGAACCTTTTATTTATTTATTTTTTTTCACTATCCTTTATCGGAAACCCGACGACCTTGACGGAAAAGCGATAAGGGCAAGAGGATGAATTATATGAGCAGAGTTTGGATGGCAGCCAGTGTTGCCATGGTGCAAGGCCATACTGACCAGGGTTTCAAATGGAACTCCGGTCTCGGGCCTCAAAAATCAGCTAATAAGGGCCTCTCTTCCACCGGAAAATTGTCCAGATCTCGGCCTTTCTCTGGCATTATTGGTTCAGACGCTGGACATTTGCTCGGGGTGATAGCGGAGACGATAGGCGTCAACAAGCCGACGAGTCTCTTCAGAAGGTGATGTACTTGAACTGCTGGAGCCAAAGCTAGAAAGGCATAGGAAATGGAGTGTCTTGGCCTTCGATGTTAATCGTTGACATAGTGGGAAGAAATTGATCGCTATCGGATCGGAGAGCCATACCGATCGAGAAGGGTTATAGAAGATGACCAGCGAGCGGATTATGGAGTTGCTGGTTATTTTAATAAAAACAGATATATATTAATTCGTAAAAGGTAAAATAGATATTTTGACGGAAGGGAGGTAATTATTAAAAATTTTAAAAATAAAGGGAAGGTTTTTGCTAAAGTAAAATTATAGGAAAGGTTTTTATGATCGAAAATTTTTCGATCTGGAGTGACGATTTAGTCCCCGAACTTTAAAATGCGACAATCCGAACTTTTGACAATCCATTCTCCAGTGCCGGAAATTTCAACTCCGGTGAAAATGCCTCTTCCTCTTCCGGTGTTCAATTTCAAGGAAGGTTTACAATCCTTTGAACTACCGAGGCTTTCTCTGGATRGTAGAGCTAGTTTTGATGGAAAGGGAAAACTGTACCCGAGGGAGATTCGAATGAATGCAGCAATTTTCGTTGCGACTCAATGAATGCAGCGTAAACTCTAGAGAAGCAGCGATTGCCGATAATAATGATAAGCAGCATTGTTCGCCTAGCGTCATCGCACGGCTATGGGCTACGAGGTGCTGCCGGACTCCGGCCGTGAACCTCTCAAGAAAGCTGAGCAGCCTGAGCTAAGGAGATCTGCTTTAGAGTCCAGGGTGCCAAGGGATCTGCTTCAGAATCGTTTTGTAGTCGGAAACAACTTCCAGATGAAGCAGCCTTGCCAAACGAATTTTGGAAGCAACGTCATAAGCAATGCAGCAAGAGATAATGCTGCTCTGCCTCAGAAAACCAAAACACGAGCAATCAAAATCTCCGAGCCGATGCCAATCCGCATCCACATGGAAAGCACCCTAGCAAAGTAAGAGTTTTTTTTATGCACAGGATTTCTTTCCGGAGCCAAAGCAGGCGAGCTCTCTATATGGATAAATCAAGAAACAATTGAAGATGTGGGGAATCGATGAACCAGCCAAGGATCTGGAGACGCTGAAGCAGATTCTCGAAGCTCTACAATTCAAAGGACTACTGCATTCTAAGAAATCGGCAGAGCAACAGATCGAGCATAGGACGTTATTGGTACTCTTATTCTGGCTTTTTCTCTTTAAACTTTAGATGGGTTCTTCTGCTTTTCTCCTTCAATTTCAAATTGATGAAAGGGATATGTTGCAGAAAAGACGAAGCAGAGGAGAAGCTGTCTTCTTCTAAACTGTTATTTTCTTGCAYTTGAGAGAGATGGTTGAAGGAAAGGAAACGACGAAAGTTGTCTTGGATCTTCCTTTTGAGATCTGAGAATTGGGATGGAGTTTCCACGGATGTAACATCGAAAAAAAGCAGTCCAGAAGCGACGAATTGATCCAGAGAAAGCTTTACTAGTGCCTCGATTTCTTCGGTGATTGGACTTCTGATTTTTCTTCACATTTAACAGTCTTGTAAAAAAGAAAGGAAAGGGGTAAAATGGTCCAAATGTTATCGTAAAGATTAGTTTTGGCATTATAAAATTATTTAAACTTTATTTGATCTCACGTAATGGCCAACGCCGGGTAGCATATTGCCACAATTTGAGGTACTAGATTGTGCATTTTGAAGTTTGGGACCAAATTGTTACTCGGGTCAAATTACATAGTGATCGAGAATTTTCCTTTTATTATAATTGCATTTACTTTGATTAATAGTAAATAATTTAGATTTAAAAAGTAAATAATTTATTGTTATTATAAATAATTAATTTACTATACATTATTAATAATCAAWAGTAATTTCAATAATTTTTTTGGAAATTATCATAAAATATTATAATTTTTTATTATTTAAGTTACTGTTAGTTAATTAGTTATAGAAATTTATTAGAATTGTAGGGATGATAATTTTCTCTATAAAATTTGGGCCCTACCCTGCCTCGCCTTGAACGGGTGAGTTTTCTCAAATCTTAAACGGGGACAAGATCGAGACAAGGTGGGGACAAAGAAAATATTTTTGCCCCAAATTAGGGATGGAGTTTGCATATAATTCCCCGAACTCGATGGTAAATTAATAAAATATTCATATATTTAATATTGATTTTTAAAATATCTCTAAGTTTTTCTCATATTCTTATAATCCTAAGATCCCATAATTTCATTTATAAAATACCCCCAAATTGTCATAATCCAATTCCTAAAATACCCCCAGTTTTCTACAATCTTATTTGTAAAATATCCATAAATTAGATTTTTTAGGTGATTGCCTCAAGGTGAGGAAAATTTGGGGATTCACCATCCTGACAAGGAATGGGTGCCTCGCCCTGAACCCGCCCCGCTACTGGGGTGCCTCATCCCATGCAATGCACGGGGCCCGCTAAATTAATCAGACTTTTTTTGTTTGTCTTTTTATTTGCACCTCTATTTTTGGTATATGTTGTGTCTATGAAAGGAATCATTCAACCTAAAAGCTTAAGCTGTTAGGTGAGGTCCCTACTACTCCCTAAGTAGGTTTTATTCTCTAACGTGCCCCCTCACTAGGGCTGCAAATAAGTCGGATCATATCCGATTCAAATCCAATACCGACCCGTTAAGAGGCGGATTTGTATATCCCTCCTCATCCTAAGAAATCAGGTCAGATTGGATGGACCAGTCCATTAATTACAAAATATTATATATTATATATTATTTACATATTATATATATATATATATATTCTATATATTATTTATATAATTTTGTATTTTGTATTTTATAATCGGATATCTAATAATACATTCAAATTCAAATTCAAATCATGCTTTTGAAAATCTGACGGATCTTTATCGAATCGGTATGTCGAATTTTCTTAACGGATCGGATCGGATATGCCCTTTTCGAATCTGATCCGATCCGTTTGCAGCCCTACTCCTCACGTGATTGTGGATAAACACAGGCACATCATACTAAAATTTAATTAATTATAATGAAAACCACGGGATTAAACACTAAACCACTTGATCAAAACAGGCTTTAATACCATGTGAAAATCTATTGGGCTTGAATTGTGGGTAAACATGGACCCATCAAACCTCTTGTGCTTCTCTTTTTAAAGGCTAAGACCTCCCCTCTCACAAACATGAGTCGTTATTATAACAGAGGATTTAAAAGGTCTCGTTTATGGTTATGAGCTAAATTTTGGAAGTAACGACAATACTAAACACCTATGATTGTGCTTCTAAGATGATGAAGTTGAGATTTTTTGATAGTCTAGTGGAACAAGAGGGTATGATGTAACAAAAACACCAGACCAAGTTATTTCATTCCCCATCTTCTCTTCTAAAGCTTAAAAGCGAAACCTCCACTTCTCCCGGAGAGGCAATGGGAAACCAAGAGAAGAAACCCAGATTCCTGTCCTCATGGTTTTAGAACAAACACCGAAATTCTCAAAAACAGGTTGTAAAAATTATCAGAATCCCTGCTGATAAGATATATCTTGTATTCATAGATGATCATTTTCTTGCCAAAGGGAAATCTGGGATTTTCGACGCTCCGTAGTACTAATGGTTCCAATTTAACAAGCAATTTATGCAGTACAGTAACTTCCAGAGTGTCTTCAATACATGTTAACCGGAATTTCGTGGTTGTATGGTGAATCTACGACAGAGATATTCAAGGCAATGCTTCATGCAAATCTTTGTTTTCCGACTCATCTTCCATTCTACTTTTCCAGCGACCAAGGATTTATTGAGGAGATCATTTACGGAAGCCAAGTCTCAATGGTTTTATCTTTCATCATCTTATTTTAGCTGGTTGACCATGGGAACATGTTAATCTAATATACAGATCCTCTCTCTCTCTCTCTCCATCTTGGGGGTTTTCTAATTGATCACTCCCTTTTTGTTATTATTTGGAATTCCTAAGAAATATTTTTAGTAGCCCATCTATGTTTTCTTTGTTGCAATCAAGGGTATGGTTTTTTCTGATTATTTTTTTACTCTCTTCTTTTGTTTAAAATTTATCTTTAAATCTTCCTAGAATTAAAACTTGATTTCTGATCTCTTTGTTTCACCTGTTATTTGCTTTTTGTATTCCGTTTCGTTGTTAACCTTCCCTTAATCTGGTTTCGACGGATTAGACTGATGTTTCATGGTTATTTACAGTAAATCTTGTTAAATTGATGGTCTTCATGTGTAGAGGTGACAAAGTGTTGTTGAAGTACAGCAAAGTAAGCATCAGTCTGTAGGTCTTTTCAACCCATACTACCGAGCATATTCCAGTCCCATGGTTATTGCCGAGCATGTAGCCCTAGCCATGGGAACCAACCAAATTCATTGCAAGAACTACTACGAATCAGGTCAGAGACCTTAAAACCATATGTTTTTTCAGAGAAAAGTATAAATGGCCCCCATCCTTTTTTTGGACCTAAAACCATATTAAGCACATGAAAAGGAGCAAATTCAACCATTATGGTTCAAACAAAAGTGATGCCGACTGTTCATTTAACAATGCCAATCTATTTATCTATCATGTAAATATTTTAATGCTTGGTCTAAAGTTGGAAGTTTAATTTGTTCCGAACACAGAAAATATCCACTGGGGTTTCATCTCAGGAAAGGATGTAGAGTTGGAAGAGTTAAAGACTAACAAGAGTCATCCACGAATTGGCATCTGCTCAGATCTCACCATCCCAAAATTCCTCAAGAGTTTTGTAAGGGCTTAGGGTCTCATGTACAAAAGAAGTTCCTCTAATCAGCCTTGCCTGCACAATTAGAAATCATATCATTAGTACAACATTTTCCTTTATCCCTTTTTCTTATTGGTGGGTATAATGCTGCTAATGTCCTCACTATAACCAAATGGAAACATAACGTAGTAAGCATGACAGCATTTACCCAACAAATTCTTGGAGGTAAAACGGGTTTAAAATAAACAGTTGAAAAGAAAATTACTTGGGAGGTTCAGAAACTGTGGACTGAAATTTGACTGCACAATATTATATAACAGCTTTGACACAAAATATTATATAACAACCTTGACAGATGCAGATGATAATAAAATAGCATATGTTTGTTGCTATAAAAGGCATACCGCATACCTGCTCAATTTCAGAGAATTTGACAAACAAATCCTCCGGTATGGACCAATCAAAAACATCAAAGTTTTCCTTCATCCTCTTTTCACTGGTGCTTTTAGGGAGCACACTGTGACCCATTTGAAGCCCCCATCTAAGAGCCACCTGGGCAGGAGTCTTGCCCAGCTTCTCTGCAACCATATTCAGAATAGGATGCTTAAGAACATCACTCTTTATCCATGGTGTTCCTGGAGAACCCAATGGCGAATACCCCTGAAAGAATATAGAATCAAAACAAATGATGATGAAAGATTTGATAACTAAAAGATGAGAGCAACAAAAGTTTTTTTGTTTTTCACCAAAACTCAAGTTGCTCAAAATTTCCTACTCACAGATAGGTGCACTCCCTTGGATTTACAAAATGCACGTAGCTTGGTCTGTTGCCATGAAGGATGGCATTCCACCTGGTTGATAGCAGGAGGAACACGTGCTATCTCCAATAAATCCCCCAACTTTTTTGTAGAGAAATTGCTCACACCAATTGCACGAGCTTTGCCAGAATCATAGAGTGCCTCCATTGCTCTCCATGTGCTGGGAATATCATGTTGAATAAGATTTTCAGGCTTAAAGCCAACAGCTCCCCTTTTCATGCGGACTGGCCAATGAATCTTCAAGAATTTAGTAACCCCAGTTAGTGACAGCATAATATAAGAACTATGTTTAACTAACATAGAACTAAAAAAGACATGTCAAAGAGGCTTAAAGAAGGATAACATCAATTTGTTCAAAATTTAGCCAATGAACCTGAAATTTGGCCTAGCCATTTTCRAGTTTACCAAGTAAAAAGTGGTTAAAAGATGTGACTTAATATGAGGCAGGCATAAGATTGATTCAGAAAGAATTTCATGTACAGAATTATTTCTGATTCTTGAAAGTAATAACGTTTATAATATTCTGTCATAACAAGAATTTATTATTTATATACGGGGTGAGACAATTCTAAGTTGTAAACATCCCCTTATTAAAATCCTAAATTCAGTAATAATGCATTCTCTGAAACTCCTCAAAAAGGGAACATATTTTTCAAGTGCAGCAGTGAGACTTGACTAGATGACCATCTATTTGAATTATGACTTGGAAGGCATTGTTACATTAATCAACATACAATGCTATCTACACAAAACGAATATAGACACAGTTTCCAGCATTGGTTAGTGTGTATAAAATCAGCAACTTTAACTCACAAACATCTATAAAGAAGCAAAACAATTCCATGTCATTTTTTATCATTAAGATCAAAGAGTTTTATTAGTAACAAACATAGAAGAAAGGAAGAAACAATCACCTATGGCGCCCGTGCAAGAGACAGATAGAAAGCCTCTCCAGATTCCAGAATAAAAGGTAAAATCAATATACAAAAAATGGGAAAGGAAGACATGGTCTCTTTCCCCTTGTGTGTGTCCTTGGATCGAATGAGGAAAGTGTAAAGTGTCTTTTCATCCCTTGCCCTTTTGCATCTCAGGTATGGAACTACTTTTTTCCTTCTTTTCAGTGAGGTATGGTATCTGCCTGCTAGTATTACAAAACTATTTCCTTTGCAACTTACCACACGTGTATACCAAAAAGGGGAAATTCTGTGGCAATGCACTATAATAGCTGTAATAGGAAGTTTATGGGGTGAAAGGAATGCTAGAATTTTGAAGAAAAGAAAAGAAACTGAGCGTACAGCTCTTGATTGGGCTCATCACAGTTAGAAACGCTTGCTAGGTTTTGACAGAAAAGGAGTTCAAGGGTGTAACTATGGATGAGATCATGAAGGAATGGCAAGTGCTAGCAGGGTACTCTGTGGAAGACATCAGAGGGTTGCCGATTGAGTGGTGTATGAGGAGGGGGAAAAGAAATTATACTTTGATGGTTGCTGCCTGGATAACCCAGCCACCTCAGGCATTGGAGGTGATAATAGTTCGTGAAGGGAACATCTTGCTTAGCTTTACCAGGACTGTCGCTGAAGACATTTCTCTTAAAGCTGAATTGTTAACACTAACCTGGTTGTGTTGTGGAGACAAGATGCTGAAAGGGGATTGTCAGGCGATTATCAACACTAACCTGCTCAAGCACTTGCAATTCACTTGACATGCTTGTTCAAGTGAACCCTAGATCTGCAAACAGTTCACTGGATGCTTTAGCCAGGGATGGGGTCACTGAGGAAAACCTAGTACAGGGTGTTCCTGGTCTGGGGACTATCTAGTAAGAAAATTTGCTTTTGTTTTATCGTACTGCTGGTTGTTGTGGCTTCCTGCATCTCCAGTTTTTTGGGATGCATGGAGTTATTCTGATTTTTTATATAAAAAACTATAGAAAAAAGAAAAGCAGTTATCTGGGATTGAAGCTCCTAAATACAGCTCTTTCCCACCCACCCCTTCTCTAGCTAGACTATCTGCTATAGACTATAGAGATACCTGAACTCTGGTTCCACCGAACAAGATGTTCATATTTGATGCCGAAGCTCTCTCACCTCTCTCACAAAGTGTTGTTGTCTACATGGACCCTCTCCACCATTCTCAGGTAATCAATTATCACCTGAGTGTATCTTCCACTTCCACAACCCCTAAAACCAACATGAACCTGGGCCCTTGAATCGTTGCAGTAATATTTTTATCATAGCCCTGATGGACTGGGATTTCCATAGGGAATAGCCATCAAACATTAGTGTCACTATTACTTGATGTGGAAGAGACCAATCTTGATTGGCCACCTCTCTGGATATAGATAAATTTGTGATGTGGATTCAAAACCTGGATCATGCCATTTATATGAAAATCTCTAGGTCATTGATTTTCAACCTTGTTAAAGATAATCTTGACAAAAACATAAAATCCTAGGATTCAAAGTGCTCCGAACTCAATTACTAATGCAGAAAAAGTTTAACTTTTATATTTATAATAAAAAAAAGCAGAACTTTTGATGTCAGATCACTTGAAATATGTAGATAAACTATTTGCCAGATGCTCGTGCAGATCCCAAAGTTAACCATTTCCTTGAGCTTTATTTCAAATAAAGTGGGGTCTTGCAACAATTTCATCCTAGTGCTATTACAAAGGGAGGAAAAAACACAATGAATATTAGAGCAGAAACAATTGCACGTGATGCAAACCCAAAAGATGGTCATTTCTTTAAGCTTTATCCTAGTTTAAGAATTGGAGAAACGGCAACAGCTTTATCCAGTGCCAAAAAATAGATAAATAACAAGAACCTTAAATCATTACCAACTTTAAAATTTAAATTAGAACAGCTTGAAAGAAAATAGAAAAACGAACTTATAATGTTTAATCTGGATCACATACAAGGTAAAGGTCAACATAGTCAAGCTGCAATTCTTGTAAAGTTTTATCTAATGCTTCTGGGACATCTTCTGGCACATGATCAGTACACCTGAAAATCCATTTAAACACCAATAGGCAGTAGAAATGTTAATCTGCCTGTAAACAAGTCCTATAGAAATGCCACAATTTCTGATAAAATAAAAGCAAAAGTTTGGACTAAGAAATAATGGCAAACCAGAGCTTCGAGGTAATCCACAAATCTTCACGCCTCACTAAACCATCACCAAACAGCTTCTTCAAGACAAGACCAATCTAAAACAATTACAAGTCAATCACAACGTTGTCCAAATTCTATTTGGATATCATCTAATACATGCTGATAAATAAACTGTTTCCATGGTAGATCCAAGAAAGAAAAACATAATTATTATTTCCTTCCTTGTAAAAATATTGGCCCAAGTACTACTAGATAATTGATCAATCATATAAAGTTCCTAACCCACATCTCCAGATAATTTCCAGTACTTGGTTCATGCTTGCATGTTGCTTTTGTTTCTGATGAACATTGTTAGAATTTAAACCTCATAAATTTAATGCAAATGTTGTCTAATATGAAGGCTYTGATTCATTTAAAAAATAAATAAATAAGAGAAAAGATCTACACGACATATTAGCTCTGCTATATTCATTGGTTTCTGTATGAACCCTATAGTTTTGGGTTCTATTAGAGAGATTCTAAAGATCAAGTACAATGTTCAGGTCCTTTGATCCACCAGCTGTGTGTGTGAGGCCTCCAGATCTGCTACCCACTACTTGTTCCCACATCTATACCCACTGAACACCGCCGCCGTGTATTGGGAACATCTCCCTATGAATGAAAAGGGAGATATTCCCAATGTGCAACTGTTATGTCCCGTGGGTAGAGATGTGGGAACAAGTAGTGGGTAGCAGATCCAAGCCCGTGTGTGTGTGTGAGTGAGAGAGAGAGAGAGAGAGAGAGTTGTTTTTCTCATCAACTGAATAACCAATACCTTGGTTCTTATCTAAAAAGAATGATTACCATCTATATGATACCAGGATATCTGGCCATATCCCTGGCATACCATTGTCAGACAAGATACATACCTGATGTGACCACTGACCAGATATATTACATTACATAAAATGTATGTACCAAAAAATAACTGATATATAAAACTAGCAAAGTAGAAGCACAATATGTAAAATGGAATAATCTTCATGCTTACCTATCATGAAATTTAAAGGCGGGGAAGCATGAAAAAAGAGCAGAATCAGTTTATATCATGCTTCTCATCCCATTTACTATGATTACATCATGCATTTATATCTACTCTTGAAGCCAAGAGTCATTTCTCCATACAAATATGCTGCAAAATTTAATTAAAGTTTCTAATATATACAGATCTTTTATAGTACAATTTGTTAAAACATGCCATTTTTCTTATGTTATTTGTTTTGATGCTAAACATGTAAAATACTAACCAGAAAAGGAAGGACCAGAAACTGTCATTGGAAGTAAAGTTCAGCACTTGTAATGAAAATGAAGTGCAGGAAAAAGTTTAGAAAGAATGTTAAGGATTGGAGCCAAACTCCTCTGATGACAATTGACCTGTTATTCTATATGGTAGTTGATGACTTCTTTTATTTTAGAAACGATGGTAAATTGACAGAACAATCCCTAATAGAGTGAACAGTTATTTTTGGGTTCACGTGAGTTATAAACCCTCAACTTTTTTTTATTGTTTCCACCACCCTCAACAATTTTAGCTTTTCCAAATATGAATAGCCTATGAATTTATCACTTTTTTTCCATATATTCAACCACCAAAAGTGAATCTAAGTTTATTGGAGGCAACAGGGAGGGGGGATGCTGAGGCTGATGCGATGAAGCAGCATGCATCACAATTACCTCTTTCTCATTTGCATAAACACGAGCACAATCAATATGTCGATATCCAGCCTGTGTTGAGACATAAAAGTAGTCAATTTAGTAGTCACTATTAACTAATGAATATGAACAGCATGAATAAAAAAAGAGTACTAGGAAACCATATCATAGATTTTGTGTCCAAAATGCTTAATATGTTCATCTATGTACACACACATATCATAGATACTAAAAATAGAAGTCACCTTTGGAGCAACAACAGAAATGTTAGAGAAGAGACATTTTACAGAACTTGTTTATTAAATGGACAGAGATGCTCATTTTAAGACTACATTTGGAAAGTGTCTTTTGTGATATAATATAAGTGTATATCTTCCAAGATTCCACCTGTTATAGTTTCATAACCAACATGAATATTGAAAAGAGAAAGACTGAGAGAGGATAGCAGAGGAACAGAGAGCACCATATGCTGGGTGGATATTTGAGATTTGAATAGGTCTTTCTGTAACAGTTAACAAGGGTGTTCTTGTAATTATTCTCCCTTGATTGTGAAATTCTATCTAGTACTTACAACATGAACACCATTCCACGTTTTACTTCCAATTTACATAAATTTCTATTTAGAGAAAATAAACCGACTCCAATGTAGTGCACCAAAACGATATTTTAAAATTTCAAAGCTTTGTATAAGCCATTTTTAATTGAGAATGTCACTATTCTCGAATCTGGAAAAAAATTGTAGGATTCATGGTGCTCAACCAACAAAGAAAAATGCCTTTAATTGGATGCTGAACAAAAAGGTTTAAGTCAATTATTTGACTTCATAGTGAAGATGGCACATATATACATACTCATCGTTGGCACTAAAAAGTAAAAACACCAACAAGCTCATACCCCTACCTCACTATTTAATAGAATTCTAACTACAAATATTATTTTACCATCATGTAGAGAACACCAGCATTRTCAAGACAAAGGAAATGAATTGTCTAGACAGGTTTCAAACATGTTTGTACAAGTGAGGTTCTTATGTTACAACAGAATCAGCTGCAGTTAAATTACATGCATGATTTTCATTACCTAAAAGTAAAGTACCTTAGTGGTAAAAATATAACCCATGAGTATATTGAAAATTTTTCAATAAAATTGCACAACTACATAAGGAGTTTGAATATTTCCTTTATGAGATTAGTTTTTTCTTCTACAACCATATACAGCAAAAGTTACAGAAGATTTTGATAGACAACCAAAAAATGCTATAAGGCTCAACTTTGGGGTATGGTGGAAATTGCAGGTTCACATTTTTGTTTAGACACTTGAGCATAATGCATAAAATTCTCCAAGATTCAGAGTAGCAGAAGAGTTTAACATAACAAGTCATGTCCACATACATGCAAAAGATTGTCAGATAAGAAAAAAAAAAGAAGAAAGAAAAATAATGTATGACCACGACCATTTTTCTTGCAGGGATATTCAACAACTCTTCCAAAATCCTATGATGGCTAGGGATTCAAAGGAAGTCATAACCTAGAAACACAAGTTCCTTAAAAAAATGTTTCGTACATCCACACAGGGGTATATAGTCTCATTTGGTTCAAAGGGTTTTCTAATTAGAGAAACTCCATATCAGTAATTCAATATTAGGGTATTGGGCACTGATGCATGTGATGAGTGTTCTGTTTCACCAGCTTGCGACATTGGAAAAAAATGGAACACTTTTAATCCTGTTTGGTAAACCATTTTCTGGAAAAGCGTCGCTGCAATGATTACCTCTTGTAATTCGTGCAAGGGGTATTTCTTAAATCACCAAGTGATGTGGCATTGAAATTTGAAAAATCTGACAGTTTTTTGTGAGTCAAATTGAAAACATCATAAAAATAAAGTCAAAGCACTTTAAACACCCAGACAACATGCATCTCCACCAAATAAGTTTTTATGCTGGTGTTTGGAACCGATCCCATTTCTTAGAAAAACAGTGCCACGTCTGAAATCCATCTTTCCAAACAACACCTGATGTTTAGTTATGTGCTTTTCCAAAAAAAAAAAAACGTTTTCTCAGACATGCCTTGGAAATCAGGAAATCTGTGGTCTGAGAAAACGTCCTTTTTTGGTGTTTTCTCATTTTTTAATGTTGCTAGCAATACAGTATGCTGACATGGCATTGAAAAATGTCTCTGTGGCACAACACTGCAAAAGCAATGGTAACAAATAGGAAATAAAAAATAAAAAACATTTTCTGAGAAATCGCCATGCCAATGCAGCACCATTTTCTCAAAAAGTGCCATATGTGTTTCTAAGAAAAAAACAGGGGATAGTGTTCCTGATTCTTGGAGAAATGGAATGCTTGTGAAAGGCATTGGTGCCAAACACCAAGTATGTGTATATATATGCACGTGTGGTTACGTACATAGTATAGAAGTCGGACATAGTATTAAAGTAGGAATTTTTTTAAGGGAAAATTCCCGATTAGTACCTTGTACTTTGGGCCTAGTGCCACTTTGGTCCCTGAACTCTAAAATGTGACAATTCAGTACCCAAACTTTTAAAATGTGACAATCCAATACCTGCCGTTAACTAGCTGTTAACCAGCCATTAAGTGGTGTTTGAAAAAAGACACAAATGCCCTTCGAGTGTTATTTAATTTTCTTTATCAACCATTTAAACATTGACAAAAAATTAACAGTCCCAAATCCTTGCCTTTTCCATTCAAGAAAGTTGGGGTCACATTTGAGTGGGGACTCTGGTGACCCCAACTTTCTTGAATAGAAGAGGCAAGGATTTGGGACTGTTAATTTTTTGTCAACGTTTAAATGGTTGATAAAGAAAATTAAATAATACTCGAAGGGCATTTGTGTCTTTTTTTCAAACACCACTTAACGGCTGGTTAACAGCTAGTTAACGGCAGGTACTGGATTGTCACATTTTAAAAGTTTGGGTACTGAATTGTCACATTTTAGAGTTCGGGGACCAAAGTGGCACTAGGCCCAAAGTACAAGGTACTAATCGGGAATTTTCCCTTTTTTTAATGGGTGTATAAGCTAGCAGGACAAGCTAGGTTCGGTAATTCCACCTGTGATATAGTGAAATTTTTTTGCAGGGGTTCATCCATGGATGTAGGTAATCATTGCAGAGCCATCTTACAACCTGTTCTGTGAGCGAAAGTGTTTTCTTGTTTTGTGATTTTATTGGCACTTAGTTCAACAAATTGGAACCTAGACCATGTTACCCTTTAAGTCAAAGAATTCGCTGAAACAAGAAAGCCCAGTAGGCCTGCAAACACTTGATCATTCAATCAGTTCTTAGTTGACAAATATTGAGAAGTCACAGAATCATTTTTTTCTCTTTATAAGAGTAACGGTATCTTATTTGCTTTCACAAAATATGCTTAATCCTTCCCCTTTGCAGCAGTCCTCCATACAACTGTTGCATGGCTATAGAACTGAAATTAGACAAGTAATCCTTCAAACCTTCTCAGCATAATAACAGAGTAAAGCACAAAAACCCGAGAGGAACTAAATCACAGCACAATAACCCGAGAGTAAAAAACATAACCGACCATATATGGAGCATCCAGGATCACCGAAGACATCAAAAATTAAAAGGACAAATGAATCAGCAATAATCTGTCACGATTGCTATAGTTCGGAACAGACTATTAGAATCCAAGACAGAACAAAATCAGTTAAAGAGCTAGAAATGTGTGCATCAATCCAGTAAGTAGTAACTGCATGTTCAGATCAGACTACTATAATCCAAGACACATCAAAATCAGCGGAAGAGTTGCTAAAAAAGAAACAAAATCTGAGTCTAGTAACCGCATGTTTCTTCGGGAAAAAAATGAAAAGAAAAAAAAAAAAAAAAAATAAACGGAGGAAGAAAAGACCTTAATAGCAGCAGCGACAGCATCCCCGACGAGCCCCGGCTCTGACTGCCACGTTCCTAAACCTACCGAAGGAATTTTCGCCCCAGTGTTCAATTCAAAATATCGAATTTCAGTCGCCATTACTAGACACTGTGATCAAACTGCAAGTTTCAGACAAAAATGGAAAGAGAATAAGAATCCAGAGATTGGTCTTGGCTAGAACAAAGATATCATCGATTCAACCCTGCTATAGCGAATCGACTAATATTCTACGGAAAACGTGACATCAAATTGGCCCCCGACAAGATCGCCCCCAGAACGGCTCTGTAGCCAACATTGATATATTATAAATGATGATGTCATGTTCCAATACATGATGGGATGCACTGTGAGAAGGCAACCTTGTGGGGGGCTGATTTGAACTCGGAAAACGTCTCTTGACGGACGCGGGGGCGGATTAGCTGGAGACAAAAACATAAACACCCGGTTGAATTACCTATCACGGTACGGACGCGGGCGAAGGGGAGGGGCGACAGCCACGACGAGCGGCAATAATGACTATTATCTGCTGAGAGTCTGCATGCAATAACAAATTTGTGATAAAATAAAAAACCATCGGTTAAGGAAACGAAATTCGCAGTCAGCGTCGATTTGCCAATAACAAGTTTTAGCTATCAGACAATGAAACTGCGAGCTGCATCATGGGAATTAAACTCCGTGGTTTTTCTTTTTTTTTTTTGTGGTTGGCTATATAATTATATATTGGAAAAGAGGGTGTCCACGTTTGACGTTTCAGTCCACCACTTGCACTTTTAGTTTCTTTGCCCTCGAAAAGTGTTGATTTGCTTTTGTACAGAGATCTTTGTGCAAGAAGTTTGTTGTGTTATATTAAACCAGTTTTGGATGCTTATAGCCGTGGATCTGGAATAAATACTATCAATAAATCAGGTTAAGTGGGTAGTGGGATTCAAGTTGGGCTGAGTGGAATATCTGGCTATTAACTCAAAAAAGAATGTAAATCGGGCCGTGTCACCCATGGCCCAACACGGCCTGGCACGATGGTCTGTGTCATGCTGGGCTGGGGGTTTATAGTCCAAGGGCCGGCATGGCATTGCACGACTGTTTGTGCCATGTCACCCGCGGCCCCCCCAATGGCTAGTTTCAGCTTTTTTGGGGGTTTTTATACATAAATACCCCCCTAACAGCTATATTTATGTATTTTGCTTATAGGGGAGAAAAATGACATAAGTGCCCCCCAATAGCTATATAACAACTAGTTTATGGGAGTTTTTTGGGGTAAAGTCATAAATAACTTTACAATGACCAAAATACCCCTCCCAACAACTAAAAAACATATCATTTTTAGGGTATTTTGGGTAATTGAATTATGTTCAATTCCTATAAATATCTCTATCCTCCACCAATTTCATCACACAAATTCAACAATTGTCTTAATCTCTTATCTCTCTCTCTTCTCTCTCTTTCTCTCTCTCTCATACTCATACATTTTTCTGCAATCTGAGTTACTCTGATTGGCTGATTGTCTAATTCTCCAATTCTCCAATTCTCCAATTCTCAAATCTTAACTTTATTGAAGTTTCAACAAGAAGAAGACTTGCTCAACCAGCTCAAGTATCTCAATTTGGGAGGCTTGGACGTTGAAAGACTTTAACCATTGAAATCAAGTTGGGATTCTAAACTGGAAATCCGGGTAAGTCCAATTAAATTATTTTTTATCTTTTTATAATTAAAAAAAATGGCCGATTCTTCCCAAAATCGATTCCCCAACATGTCCATTGTTGATGATATTCAATCGCATCATGATAGTGTTAGCACTGATGCTATTGATATTGATGGAAGTAGAACTTTCACCCCTGGTACCGATACTAAGGGAAAGAAAAAAGAGGGCCTCTAAGTTGAGTAGCCCGATTTGAAAAATTTTTAAAGTATAAGATATTGAGGGGAAGGGAAAAAGAGGAGTTTGCCAAAAATGTAGAAAAATACTTTATCTATCATAGAAAAGGTCATTTGAGCAGACATTTGCTCAGACATGATAATGAAGAAGAAGGAAAAAAAAGGAAAGAAATAACACAAACACAAATTGAGAGGGGGAGTTTTGGTACATTTAAATATTCACAAGAAAAAATGAGACAAGAATTAGCAACGTATATTGTACATGCAGAACAACCATTTATATTAGCTGAAGATAATAAGCTAAAGATGGGTTGTGTAATTATGTAAATCCACAATATAAAAAAGTTTATAGGAATACTATTAAATCATATACTTTAATTTTTTTTTATTCATATAAACAAAATTTAATTTTTTTGTTATCAAATATTAATTCTAAAGTTGCAATTACTTATGATGTTTGGACATCTAAATTTAACATAAGTTAGATTTGTGTTATCAGCCATTTTATTGGTGAAAATTAGCTTCTAAATAAAAGAATTTTAAGTTTTATTAGGCTCGAATGGCCACATAATGGCCCAGCTATTGCTGCAAGTATTTTAAATACTTTACATACTTATGGAATATAAAATAAATTATTTTCTTGTTGTTTTGATAATGCCAACAATAATGATTATGTAGTAAGTATCTTAAAATCTCAATTAAAACCACGTTTAAATGGTAAATTATTTCATATCAGATGTGCATGTCACATCTTAAATTTATGTATTCAAGATGCCTTGAATATTATTTCTACTCATATTTCTAAAATTAGAAATTGTATTATATATATTAAAAGTTCAGRGGCAAAAAAACAAGAATTTAAATATTTATGTCAAAATTATGGTTTTAAATATAAACATTTTATATTATATGTAAAACATAGGTGAAATTCTACCTATGCTATGTTAGAAAGTTGTATTTCTCATAAACAAATTCTTACTGATTTTTATAATGCAAAAATGACCAATGATATTATATTTGAGGAAGAAAATTGCAGTTTGTATAAGAGACTTTTTAAAACATTTTTATGGTGCAACTAATGAATTATCAGGTATTTATTATCCAATTAGTTGTAATTTACCTTATAAATTAATGGTAATTAGTGATTGTTTTTCAAAATATTGAAATAATCCACAATTTAAATGTATTATTGAAATAATGAAAAATAAATTTAAAAAATATTGGGAGAACATTTCTCCCATTTATTTAGGATTAGGAAATATGGTTTAGATATTTTACTTTAAAATATTGAAATTGAAAATAAAAAAAAATAAGAAATTAATAATTTGTTATTTGAAATGTACAATTTATATGAATCTAAAACAATAGGAAATATTCCTACAACTTGTACAACATATTCTACTTCTGATATTGAGCCCAATAGTAGAAGAGAAAAGCTTTTTTATTTAATAAGTAGAAGGCAGAAATCTACTACTTCTACAACAAGTTCATTTACTGAACTTAATTTTTATTTACAAGCAAATTTTTCTAGTTTAGGCGAGGGAACAAATCATTTTGATATTTTAGCATGATGGAATGAACATTCAAAAAATTATCCAGTTCTCGTCGCCATGGCACGTGATCTACTAACCCTTTCTAGTGTCTATAGTTCCATTGGAGTCTTGTTTTAGTGCAGATACTAGGGCGTTGGACGACAAGAGAAGTTGCATGAAATATGAAAGTAAAGAGATATGCATCTGCTTTAAGGATTGGCTAGATGCAAAAGATAGATTACAAGACAAAGGAGGGCATGATACTACACTATCTTTCACCTTAAGTAGATGATGAAAGTCATGATTCATGTAGTTGACTAGTTGTATAGAACTTTTTATTTTTTTCAAATTATTGTAAATTTTTTAATTTATTTTAATTTATTTGCTATTTTTTATAATTTTTTAACAATTTAATTTTGTATTTCCAATTTGTAACTATATGGTATTTTTATATTTTATTAATTTATTCCATTTTCATATTTCATTATCTAAGTATCCAATGATCTAATCACTGTATTTCGGTATTTGTGATTTGTATCATTCAAATTTAAATGAAATAAAATTCCTATTTTTCTTCTAATTTGTTATTCCATCACTCTTATTTAGTTAAGCATTTTTTTTTCATTTATGTGTTAGATAACTTAGATTTCTCATTTCTTAATTTTTCAAATAGTTCTCAAAATTCAAAGGAAAGTTAAATATTTTAGTTTTACACGTTTACTTAGAAAAGAAATCAAAATTTTCAAAAAATAAAAAAAAAAACAAAAAAGTCAAAAAAATCAGTATATCCCGGTTTGGCCCAGGCTCAAGGCCCGCCTTGTGGCCTAGCCCGGCCTGACCCAGGCCCGCAGCATAGCACAGGCCCGCACGGGCCGTGTCAGGCCGACCCCCAAAATTTTCACCGATGAGGGCGGCATGGTCCACAGGCCAGCACGACACAACCCACACTTTGCGCGGCCTGGCACAACCCACTTTACACCTATACTTGAGCTTGTTTTGAGTTCAAATTAGATGTGGCTCAAGGCCTCACAAATTGAATTTTATTGGGTTTGAGCTAGACTCAATTACCAAATAAACCTATATATTGGACTTGAAGCTTGGATTCAGATACCCCCGTGTATATATGTATGTATGCATAGTGGATTTGCTTATTTACAATCCACAAATGCCCTTGTCATGTCAATCAGTTTAACTAGTGTGCTCTTAAGGTTGCGTTTGGAAATGATGCAAATAAGTGTGAATGCAAATATGTAGAGTGTAAAACGGTTCATATAAAATGTAAAATTGGGTTAGTTTTGCACTGTCAAATTTACCTTCTTATCAAAGAGGCTTTTAGCTGTAATGGATGCAAACATTAATTCCAATAAAGCATATGCTTTTTTTTTTTATCAAAAGCCCACTTGAATGCAAATTTATTTATTTTTTATTGATGTACTTTTACATCTTATTATCAATGTAAATATGTATTAATCTATCATTTGTCAATGCATAAATGTAATGTTGTCAAACACAGACAAAAGTGAACCAGAGTGCAAATTTACCCTGAACTGAAATTTATACTCCATTTGCATAATTTCTAAATGCATCCTAAATATCTTGTCTAAATGCTAATGCTAATGCTAATGAACAAGCTATAAATATCAAATATTACACGTTGGTGGCTTACAATGCTTTGTAGTAYTTGAAACCAAGAAGTTGGGCAAGGACTACTACATTGTGATCAATTGAATATGATAAGTTGAATGGTTGGTTGAAATGGATCTTTTTATCAATTGCCATAGATGAAGTTTCACTATCAATGGTGAAATCATCTGCAACATTATTTCCTAATTCTACACGTCGTGATCTCTTAGTTACTTATTACTGAAAAAAACTTGGCTATTTGAAAAAGACAGCCCAGGCTGTTTGGGAGCTTTTCTATGCATATGTTACCATGGGTGTGGAATGAAAGAACATTTGCAATGAATATTCTTTTAATTAAAAAAGACMAGCAAATAAACAAAGAAGCTACCAAACAACCAAAGTTTTTTCCCCATTTTCGGAATCCACTGATGAATCCCCAATGGGAATGTACCTTCTATCACGTAAATGTAGATCTTTATTTGTATCATGTGTCATTCTCTATTCATATGCTCTAAAATATATTTTTATTAAGAGATTARGGGTGGATTCAAGCCGAATCAAACTGAATATTTGGTTATTTGAGCTCGACCCGATAAAAAAAAAACCATGGCCTTGTATTTGGATTTAAGCTCGATTTGAACTAGAAATACAAGCTTTGATTTGGTTTGACCCTTATATGTTCGAGCTCAGTTCAACTCAAGTTTGATGGTGAGTCAAGCTTTCATATAAAAAATTAAAAATTATACATATAAAAGGTTATATAAACATAGGCACAAATCCACATATACATATATTTTTTCTTATTATATATTATATATAAATAATTAAAAAAATACACATAAACATTAAAATATTATATATTATATTAAATCAACTAAACTTGCAAGCTTCATTAGACTTGATCTCAACTCCAAGTTTGATTTAGACCGAACTGAATTGAGCCTTTACGAACCAAGTTTGGATAGTTTATAAAAAGCTTAATTTGTGTTCGCCCTCTTTAGAATATAACAATGAATCCCACTCATAATCATTAATTACGACGTGGTAGCTGTTTTGTTTACTATTAAGGGTAATCATGAGCCGGGCAAGAGCCAGCTTTTAACATGTGATATGGGCTGTAGCCTAGGCCTTGGGCCCAAGCTTGATTCCAAGCCTATAGCGTTTAGATGTACAATATTCAATGTATTTAATATTTTATATTATATCTCACATGATATATGTATAAAATTTATTATATAATATAAAATATATATTACAGTCTTGTAGGTGCCATTGTGATATTTATATATAAAATATAATAACAGATTTATATATGTACATGCTGGGCCGGGCCCGGGGTTGGGCTGAAAATGATCACCCCTAAAATCGGCTGACGAGGCAATTTATTTATTTATTATTGTCAGTAGATGGGGCAAGTTGAACAAACAAGGAAGGCGAAATTATCAAACCGCACTAAAGCCATCGTATATATAAGAGGAAAAAAGATATGGGTCCCAAAAGAGAATCATTTGTCTCACTCACAAAGCTCATCTTCCCAAAATTGGTTTTGAGAGGTTGTGTAGTGCATTGTGTACAGTGCATTTATAGGGCATAGATATGAAATGATACCGGTCCCCCTTTCTTTAGGCTCAGTTTGGAAGTAGTATAAATACAAATATTTGTATTAGTTTGAATTTATACTCCTTCCAAGCTGAGCCTTAGGGTAATCCACACTTCCTATTAGCCTATTTTATCAGCAATCTATGCAAAGCAGAAAAATTTACAATTGGACACAAAATTGACACACGGCTTTCCATTTTAAGTGGGGTTCTAGACTGCCACGAGGCCGGGAGTCTAACCATATCAGACATACCATAATAGCTCAAGGTGATCCAATCATTACACTACCTGAAAACGATTTCTTGGATTATCCCATTTGAAATTGCGTTGGGCCTGGGCCCTCGCACTGGACCCCATCAAACTAAGTGATACAGAAGCCATCCGCCCATCACCATCAAACTAAAGGCTCCTCAAAGGGTTTACCGTTTACCTATCAACAACAGCTGTCAGCGTTTTGTGAATAATAAGTCCAACCTCGGTGGTGTAGCCAGTGAGACCGGATCTGCTCCTCACAGGCGTTTCACGCGCACATACTACCATGCATTGAAAATATCTCCCGTATTTATATTGTTATTCACGAGAGATGTTCTCAATGTACTGGTGGATGTGCCTGTGAGGCGCCCGTTTTTGAGACGGCTTCGTAGTGAGTAGCCACAGTTCACCGCCACCTCTACTTACGAGTTACGACGCCTGCTAGTCTACCACGTCACCTCGTTTGACTGGTGCTGGTGCAGTTTGGTTGGGCTTATCACGGTTGGTCCATTTCATTAAACTCAATTTAATTAAAATTGGCCAGGCCAGATGAGAAGATCAAAGAAGACGATTGGGCCACCCAAGTACCCAACTCGATCAGAACCCGGTGTGTTAACTGTTAAGGCGGCAGTTTCTAGGCTGGTACTCATGTGTGGCTCTGATTTTTTGAACTGGACACGTGGCAGCATGGAGTACTTGATCATCAATATCAGCCAATGAGCCAAGAGAGATTTTTTCAGTTTTGTCAAAACCAAGCAGGGAGCATTCATTTCTTTTCAGTTGAGTTTCAGTTGAATCTGAAAAGTGAAAAGACAGAAACATTCTTTTTTTTTCTTTTTCTCCTTTTATGGAAAAAGTTTTTTTGATTGGACGGCCAGGATTTAGTAGATATTGGGTCTTATCAAGATAGAGGAGTGGCCCACAGGATCGACAACAAAAGAGTGGGGATATGGACTGTAATTTCAAGAAAAAACGAGGTCATAGGAAAACCTACATGAACGCGTAGCAACTTTAATCGGTACCCGTGAGGCCGTGACCTATTTTTTTTTTTTTTATAAACAAAAAGGCTTGGATAAAATAGACGGATCAAAACCTGATACTCGCGGGTCCAGCAAGGTTCCAACGACAAGAACACAGACAGTCAGGAAGAAAAAGTAAGTATGAAGGTTAAAATGATAAAAGAAATCCACGTACGACGAATTCTCAGACGATTAAACTGCTCCAACTCCATTGTTTTTTCTTCAATTAACTATTCATTGTATAATATTTAATCCTCAAAGCTCCTTCGAATCTCAGATTATAGGGTTTCTTGAAGAGCCAGTCGATTCGGCAAGACTGATCTTCTCTCAAAGAGGAAGAAAGCGTGCAAAACCCAGTATTTGGAGCTCTTCGATCGTCAGAAGACTCAAATTGAAACCTTGGAGCTTGATCCTGTGTAAATCTAGTAGTTGAGACTAGAAGGATTTTCTGTCACTTTTTCCCCTGAATTGGTTGAAATCGCATGAAAAATGGAGGAGGTTTGGAGGGTGCTCCATTCATGGGGAGATTTTGAAATCTAGGGTTCCTACAGGGCCCTTTGTTTCGGGAAAGGGCCCTAGGAGCAGAGAGAAATGAAGGATTTGTTTGGGAGCCCTGGCACTGTGAGTGGGCTTCTTCTGAGAGTAGGACAATGCTTGTTTGCTGCTGCGTCCATTGGGGCGATGGTCTCTGCCTTTGGCTTTTCTAACTATACCGCTTTCTGGTATTTTTCTTTGCTCCCATTTCATCTCTTTTAAACGTTATTTTCCCATTTCTGTGCTATCCTATATTATTTCCCTGTATTTCTAAATGTTATTTTGGAAGAATGCTTTACAGAAAATAAGATTTTGTGAATTTATGTATCTATTCTGTTCACTTATCTGATCAATGCTAGGTAGATGAGCTTGGTGGATATAGACTTTAGAATGCCATATTTCTTATCTTTTCATTTATTTCTTAAGATATTTAAGTTGCTCTTCATGGAAAGTATAGACTTGTTTCTATTCTATCTTGCTTTACTTTTTTTTGATAACTATTTCAATCTTGCTTTTCTTGTTTATTTCTACTTAAACTACTGATCGATATATTACGTGTCGGTTGCTGTTTGTTCGGTTTATGGACCATTCGTGTTTGAACCATTTTTGAACATTCTACTTGCTGTCACAGTGTGCAGTAAAATTTCCCGTTTCAGATCGACTTGTAAATTTAAACGTCTTGCAGCAAGGTCCAGAGTACTTTAGTGGAAATACACTTGTTATTATTTTTCTATTTTTATACTGTAGTATTGATAAATATGTTCTTATGTTTAGTCGAAAATGCTTCAAATTTAGTCTTGTCCAACCATATGAAACACATTGACATGGACTGCTACTAGTTGAAAACAACTTTACCCTCTTCCATTGTCTACCTTTGAGTCCTTGATCTCTATATTGGTTCCAACCGGTTTTCCACTTAAGCCAAAGGGAAGTATGATGTCCAAAACAACTTTAGATGGGATAAGTTTACCTTGTAATTGTTTTATTTATGATGAGTTTAGCTAAACTGATAGCCTGACCAGATTATTTGGGGCATTTTCTCACCCACTTGTCCTTGCTACATGTGGAAGGAGATCCATACTTCCACATACAAAAACTGATACAGATTTTCCCATCCTGACATAAAGATGGTGAAATTTAATGACATTGTCTATGATAAGCACAACCTTGGACATTTGTTTCTCACAAGGAAACTGGACCAAGTTTACTTTTTTGTGCCTAGTAAGTGATGTTTATCAAATGATTATTTTAATTGTATATTGGTTTTTCCCTATTCCCATTATGTGAAGGCCATTCTGCTTTATATTTTCTTTATATCAAGCTCTGACAACAATTTCAAAAGTAATCACTGTTAAAGGTACCTGTTAAACCTATGGGAGATTTTTTTTTTCTTTTTTTTTGCAAGGAAAGAAACCAAACCCTTCATTACGAGATAATGAGCCCTTATAAATATCCAAAAGAGTGAAATAATGGCAACGGGAATGTGATAAACTTGGAAGCATGGGCTGTTGATTGGGGCTGCAGAGTTGGTAAACTCCCAACAAAGTATTTGGGTTGGGTATGCCTCTGGGTGAAAACTATAAATCCAATTCCATTTGGGAGCCAGTCATTGAAAAAGTGGATAGAAAGTTGGCCTCTTGGAAGACCAAATGCTTATCAAAAGGGGGCAAAGTCACACTAATTAGAAGTGTATTATCTTCCCTTCCCGTTTATTACTTGTCTTTATTCCCAATTTCGGCAAATAGGGCTGCTGTGTTAAAAAAAAAGATGAGAGACTTCCTGTGGAAGGAGTCAAAATACCATCTGGTGGGTTGGAAGAAAATTTGTTGTTCTAGAGCAAATGGGGGGTTTGGGAATCAGGTCAGTAAAAGAGGTCAACAATGCTTTGTTAGGGAAGTGGTTGTGGAGATTTAATGAGCAACCAGACAGTCTGTGGAGGAGGTTAATTGTATCTAAGTATGGTTCCAGCAGCTGGGAGTGGGAGACAGAAGAAGTAAGATCATCTTATGGGCCTTCAGTTTGGGAGGCTATACAGAATTAATTCTCAGTTTATGAAGGGTATAAAATATGAAGTTGGCAATGGTCAGAGAGTGTTATTTTGGAAGGATTATTGATGTGGGAATGGTCAATTAAGGGTTCTATTCCTCAACCTGTTCGAGATAGCTACCAATAAGGATGCATCAGTGGCAGATTAACCAGAGAAGCAAAATCGGCTTTGTATATGGAACCCCAATTCCGGAGGAATCTAAGTGATTGTGAGGTGGCGTCTTTGGTCAGTTTGCTCCAGGTTCTTTATGACTCTGGAGCAGCTGGAGTAGGGGAAGACAAAATAAAATGGTTATTTGAGAAATCAGGGACATTCCAAACTGCCTATTTTTTTGGCCTGTGGTGCTGGATAAGATCCTAACTAAGGTCAATTTAGTTAGAAGAGGTATGGAGGTGGCAGATATGGCTTGCACACTTTGCAATGGTTGCATGGAATCTTCTAATCATTCGTAACTTCATTGCGATTTCACCTATAGGATTTGGACAAGACTGCTGAGTTGGTTTGTGATTAATATGTATTTCCCGGCTGATGTGAAGGGATTCATTCTTGGTATGTGAGTGAATTAAGCAGGGCTGGAAAATTAGCTCGGAAAATCCTCCCTTCAGCAGTCTTTTGGATAGTGTGGGGTGAAAGAAACAGCAGAATTTTTGAAGAGAGACAAAGTACAAAAGAAGAGGTGTTTAAAAGGATCTCAGGAATGGTGCATTCCTGGCTGCAAATCACCCTTTATTCAAAAATAGACATTCATGTTCTTTTTTTTATCAGCAACACAAAAATGATTTATTAATTATAAAAAGGAGTACAACAAGGGGTTGTGGGCAAGGAGCAAGCCCAAAATCACTTCCAATATTTACAAAACAGCCCAAAACATGGATTGTCTCTGAATTCCTTGTTTAGCTAACCCATCTGCTATGCTATTTACAGATCTCCTAATCCACTTTATTTGGATTATCATGTCTTTAGAAACCTGCTTGAAGTGCCTGAATTCATTCTTTAACTGCCAAATTACTCCTTCCCCCCCTTTTCAGCCACCCCACAACAATTTTGGAATCATGTTCTCTTTTTATCATGATTTGCTTTTTGTAAGGAGTTCATAATATTTTTGGTTTTGGGACTGTTTTTTGGCTATACAGGTTTATTTCCTCATGTACAGATTCTCTTTGTATAGGGGTTTGCATAGTTGTATAGTCTTAAGATTATCAATGAAATACTTCACCTTACAGTTTAAAAAAAAAAAGTTTGCTGCCCTTGGGAGAGATACTATTTCTATTATATTTACAAGCATTGTAAGCCAGTCCATGGGCAGCAGTATTAGCACTTCTACTTATGTCTTATATATACATTATCAAAAAAGGGTAGTAACTTTCTAGCTTTTTCAAAAAGATGTTTGACCTTCCAGTGCACTGGGATTGCTTCATTCACCATTTTTACAACAGTTGCAGCATCACAAAAAATCAGTAGCTTCTTGATCTTCAGACTTCCTCAATTCTCAATCCTTCAATGAGGGCCCACCATTTGGCTTGGTCAGCTGCAGTGGCATGAATTCTTCTGCTATCTGCATGAACAATTGTCAAATCTTTAGCAAGTATTATTTAACCAATGGCAGTTTCTCCTGTATTAGGCATGTAGGCTCCATCGACAAAAAGTAGATGGTCTGGTGAATCACATTGAAATAAAACATTGACAGTGACTTCTTTTATTTACAGTTGGATATGGGATCAGGTAAGACTGAGATAAACTCCACCAATTGATATGGGTTTAATGCCTAATAAGGTTTTGCCGTGGGCTTTAGCATTACACATATATATCCCAAATCAGCCTGAGAAGGATGGACATTTTGCCGGATCTGCAATTCTAAGATTGATTTTGGGCTTTGACTTATTGAAAAAAAAATCAAAATTAGCTGCAATTTGGTCCATTCACTTGATCATGGGCTTTTCTTGTAGTCAAATAAATAAATAAATAATGAAGACTAAAGTCAAAAGATTTTATTAAATGAGAAAAAAGCATGGCAAGGAAGTTTTTTTTTTTTTTTTTAAATAGTCCATAGCATGGAAATATTTCAATGTTGCTACTATGATCCACATAAATTGATCATAGGAATAATGTTATTGTTTTCTAGTGGATCATGGGAGTAATGCTTAAGCCTAGCAATTTAAGTTACTATCCACAACTTTAATCTAGTGGTCACAAAATGAGACAAAACACAGCATTCCTTTTCAATATAAGGGTTGAATGAGTGAAAGTTTTGTCCCCTTATAAATTGAAGCAAATGCGGCCTTAGGGACTTCATGATGAATGGATCTTTATTTATCATAGTTGGTGAAAAAGTACTGTTGTGAAACCAGTTTCCTCCCTTTTTTGTTTTCCTTCATTAAAAAACCATTACTTTGATCTACTTAAATTTTTTTTTTTTGGATCAGCAACAGAAATTTTATTAAATTAGAGTAAAGTTACAGATTTTAGGTAGCTTCGGCTACCCCTTACAATCTTAAGACAGAAACATTCAACAACAGAAAGCTTTGAGTTAAATTACAGTACAACCCAGAAACAATGCTCTCTGTAAACCCCTTGCTTAGCTAATTGATCTGCCAGGCAGTTGGCTGATCTTGGAATCCATTGAAATACCAGTTGCATCTCCCTCGACAGTCTTCTAAGCTTTTTAAGTTCATTCCTGAAGCACCAAGGAATCTTCTCATTTCTTTTCAGCCAGCTAATAATAACATGAGAGTCCCCTTCAACTATCAGTTTTCTTATCCCAATCTCCATAGCTTTTTGAACCCCAAAATCCACTGCCTTCATCTCGGTGGTTGTTGAATCCCCTACCCCGAGCGGTCCTGAGAATAGGCACAGAATAACTCCTTTCCCATCCCTTATCACTCCCCCAATTCCAGAAGGACCTGGGTTGCCTATGTTGCTGCCATCAAAATTCAATTTGAAGAAGCCATTTACAGGTGGGTCCCAATCTCTTTGAATCTTCTTTCTTGAGGATGATGAAGCTGCAATTGTGCCCCACAACCTGATTATGTCATCATGAGTAAAATCCAAAAATAACTTCACTGTTTTGATCTACTTCAATATTGATTTACCTGTTTCATAGTTTTCAAGGCGCCAAGGCGAGGCTAGGCGACCAAGGGGCGCCCAGGCCTTGCCTAGGTGATGAAAAAGAACTTAAGGAGCCCACCTAGCTTTCTTGTAACCAAGGGGCGCCCAGGTTTGTACATTAACCTACAAACCTCTAAACTAAATTTTCTACTTATGATTCTTGTAATTGTGCTTAAAGCATGCAACACAGAATATTAGAAATAGAAATTCAGACTTAAAAGAAGAACTGAAGAGGGCATAGCCCCTGTGTTTGACCAAGAAAAGAAAAAGAACTTGGGGAGAAAACAGAGAGGCAGAGCCCTGTTTTAGACCAAAAAAAGAAAAAGAACAAGGGGCTCCACTGCTGTTTTAGACCAAGAAAAACTAGGGAAACACTAAATAAAAGAAAATGAAAAGAAGGGGGCAGAGCCCCTGTTTCAGATCATCAGTGAAGAGGAAAAAATGATGAAGAAACTCAGTGAAATGAAGAAGGGGGTGGAACCCCTGTTCTGGATTACCATCGAGGAGGACAAAAGTGCAGGGAAAAGGGTGAAAAGTTTGCAGGAAAATGAAGAAACAAAGGGGGGCGGAGCCCCTGTTTGATTCCAAAAAAAAATCATGCAAAAAACGTATGGAAAAGACAAAAAAAACAGGAAGAACCAACAAAAAAGGAAGAAAAAAAAGGCTGAAAACGAAGAGGGTAGGAGGAAGAATAGGCGGACTGAAAACTGAGAAGAAGATGATGATTCATTTGACTACCTGGCATATTCGAAGTTGTTTAGACTTCTAGTTGGTTATGCAGCATTGCAGCAACAGTTGGAGTTGGACTGTGTGTGAAACATACCTGACTGGACAGCTCTCCCTCTTCTATTCAGTTCTGCCATGAAAATAAAAGCCTAAAAAGACAGCACTCTTCTTCTAATAAAAAGAGTGATAATGTGTGATAGGTTCTATTGTAATAACAAAAACTAACCAATAAAAACTATTTGCAGCAAAAGAAAAGTAAAAATGACCAATGTATTAAGGGATGTATTAATGTGTCTTGTATCTAGTCTAGGTGTGCGCCTTGGAGTTAAGCGCCCGCGTAGTCACCTAGGCGTGCACCTTATACAAACTTTGCATGGTGTCTGGGCAAGGTGAAGTTTGAAAACCACCTAGTTGCCTAGGCGTTGGCTTGACAACTATGACCTGTTTATTGGAAGCTTGGAATCAGTGTTTGTGGACTCCTAAATCGATAAGATGTTTTTGTTTAGGGCTGTAAATGGATTGGATGGAATTAAATCTGCATCCGATCAGATTATTAATTGGATGTGGATTGCAAAATCAGAATCCAATCCTTTTATGTAAATAAATAATCTGAATCCAAGATAATCGGATTGGATTTTGGACTTTCAGGGTCTGTTGACAGCCCTATCACATGGGTCTGAAAATGGGTCATGGGTGAAGAGGTAGAGAATGGATTCAATCATGTGGAACTTTCTTATTATAAGCTAAGTGCTATTCTAATGGATATACTACATGTTTCCTTTTGTACTATGTAATAATAAAATTTATATTTGTTTTTTATATGTAACCGCATTGATGTTAATGCAATTTGGATTCAGCTATTTAATTGCTTCAATGGGGCTTCAAGTACTGTGGAGTTTGGGACTTGCTTGTCTTGATGCTTATGCTTTGAGGATAAAGCGGGACCTTCGGAATCCTGTCTTAGTGAGCCTGTTTGTTGTTGGTGACTGGGTAAATTAGCTTTCTTTTGTTGAACTTCATAAGTATACAATTTACTCATACTTGGACATGAACAAGCATGAACATTGTAGCATGAATTTATTGGGAGCTATGCATACTTTGATACATGATGTGTTAAATATCATTTATGGAAGCTGACTTTCTGACACCACTTTATTCATTTTCAATTTTAACTTTATTTATTTAATCTACAATTCTTTTATTGCATCATTTGTTAATATATTTTTGGCTACTATGGCCTGCAATTAATTTTCTCAATAAAATTTTAAACAAAGCAGCAATATAATTTCCTTAATACATGTGCTACTGCYTAATAGATTCAAGGCAAAAAAATATCATAATATCATTTTCAGATATTTATGGTTAGGTTGCTCCATTGCAACCAAGCAACCAAGGTTCAAATCTTGGGAACTGCCTCCTTGTATGTGTAGGGGGTAAGGCTGTGTACATCTGTCCCTCCCCATACCCTGCATTGGTGGGAGCCTCATGCACAGTGCACTGGGCTGTCCTTTATTATTTTCAGATATTTCTTATTGTTCCTTTTTATTTACTTCATGAATCTTTCTAGGAACTGTACTGTGATCCACTCCCAAACGTTCATTATGATACTGTTTCACTTTCACATATTCTTTTCTTTTGCTATCTTATATTTCGTGTATTTGATGCATGATTTTCAGGAACTCTATCATGAATTCCTTGAATTTATGGCATATGATATGTGCTTAATTTATCTGGAGTTACTTATTAATCCCCCTTTTCATTTTTCTATGTTTAGTGTACCACTTTTCAATTGTATGTCATGATGTCTTATTTCTGAGCACTTTGCATGTGAAGATTTCATATTGGAGTAATAGTAGACAGGTACAGCTTAGAGCTGATGGCCTCCAAATCTGTGGCAAAGACCAGTTTTTGCTAGTAGAGATTTAATGATTAAAATCTGGAGGAGATGGCCTTATTTCATAATTATTGTATGTATATGTATGAATGTCTTCTGTTAGGTCCCAGAAACTTCGCACACAATTCTCAGACTCACAGCAGAATTCACACAACTCGAATATCAACAAAGAAACTGGTATTCATTCAGACGAAAAGAAGAACAGTAACAGTTGATCGGTTCTTCGAGAGACTGCCGGCTCTCCCAAACACTCACCGTATTCTTCACTCCACCAAAGCCTATCTCCTCCATCCCCCAAAGCCCCTTCTTATACTCCTCTCACAGCATAACTGACTCCCTTAATAAATGCCCAGATGGCCAAGTTATAAATGCCCATACTCTTCTTATTCCTAACTGAAGATGCCTCAAGACTCTCCCTATTCCCTCCAGCTATAATTGCCCCCATGTTCAATTATTTCCCCCCTTAGCCGAAAGCTGACCTTTCCCCTTCCTGGCATACGTAAAGTTAATTGGGGGCCTATCAGTCTTAAAGTGTGTAATTCCTTTCTTTACACACATGAGCTCTCTTGGGATTGAGGGCATTCCCTTTGCCATGGAAGTGCATCCTTAAATCTGTAGAGCAGTTATGTCTTTCATTCTCTTGTTTGCCCAAGGGACTGCAGTCATACTGACATCGGAAGGCATGCTTCTTTCGGATAAATAATATCACATAGGCTTTGTTACTGCTTGGTTGCATAAATGTCCTACCTGGTGTTAGCTTTTTTGGAAACACACTTTATGTTGAATTTCCAGGACAAACTAATTAGCTATTTTCTTTTTTATTATTTTTCCTAATCAAACTCCTGGATGCCTTTCATTAGAGAAATTAAATCTCTTGGTTCTGGGGTGAGAATATCTCATTTACATAGATCTGGGCATCTGAAAAATCATTGGCTTAAAGCTTATCCAGGTTGGGAGTTGAAAGAGAAGAGATATATTTAGGTGACATCCATTTCCTTGGTCAAAGTATGGATAATGGATCTCATGAATATGGAATGCAAGGCTTCACAGATAATAGATTTGGGATATTTTTATGTGAAGACTGGGATTCTGGCCCATCTTTTGGGCCATTTATTTTCAGTTTTTTTATTTACATATCTCTTTAATCTCTTTTTAAGATTAATGAAGAGTTTCTGTTGCCAATAAGAAAGTTTCCTAGCTATCTCCTTGAATATGTTTTGTTTTTTTTGATAAATGAGAGTAATTTTATTGAAAGAGTATCAGAAATACATGCAGCCTATGAAGAGGCACGAGATGTTACCTCCCCCAAGGACTGAATCATAAGCACTAAAACATGCCCAAACCTGAGAAACAAATTACAAATTAGCCCAAAACAGATCACCCCT